TAACGAACCATCACAATTATATTAATAAGCTGGAAAATTTTCCTTAGCGATAACTGTCTACAACAGAAGACCTGTCTAAAGGCAGACTAAGCAAACGTTCTTATATAATAAACTACTGAAATTATAAGGTCAACAATAATTACATCAGAAAAAATACATCGACGAAAGGCATACATTAACAAACTTGAGAACATTCAACAACTACTATAATACCAAGAACCACAACATACAACAACAACAACAACAACATGAAGAAGTGTATATAACAAGATAATCTATACCTTCGTCACTAGTGCCAGAGCTGACACTAGGCTGGCACCAGCTGCTGGCCGCTACACTTAACAGTGTGAGGTGTGTGAGCCACGGTCGACACACTCCAAGCCTCACATAATGTTTGTATCCAGTGCTGGGTGAAGCTCTCACTCTTAACTACCATCATTTACTGCCCTTAAAATTAAACTGAATCACACTAAACCTTAGTCATATAAGTGTACAATGTTACACAAATATATATATTGATACTGGATAGGAATCAATATTTATCGTTTTAGAGATGACTAGACAAAAATATAAGGTAAAAATATACTATGGTCGTCACAGAAACATTTCATTTATAACATATAAATAATAACAATGAAAATTCTATTACAACTTTGCAAACTAACATTATAATTATATTACGTTATTGTTAGCAATAACAAATTGATTGTGTCCACCCTGACAAACTTCGGTTAAATTTCTGTTTTCTAAGTGAATACCTTCAGGGTATTTTATATATTAATATCCTCTGTAAGCTAATATAAAATAAAGTTCACATTATTAACATTAAACATCATTTACCAATATAACAAAAAGTAACAGGAAATAACCAATCAACATTGTGTATTTTACTTCTGTGATTAAAAATTTTAAGTGATGTATAGAAAAAAAATAAATTTTAGTTAACGTGGAAACAAAATAAATGATGATTCTGTTATTCAGACAAGTGAACCTGTTTATCATTATTATAATAATCCAATTTTTAATGTGGTGGAGGGGTAAGCCAGTGGAAGGTCTCGGTCAAATGACCAGAAGCTCCAGTGGCGGGTCATCATATGACCAAGACCCGCGTCAGGAAACACTTGTTCTGTTTCCTAGCGAATCTTACCTAACCTAATCTGTTTGATAATTTCTTAAAAGCTTTATGGTAGATGTGTAAGGAAATATGAAGAAAAACCTGAAGACTGGAGGGAAGGGCTCTAGTTAAGAGGTTCTTAACGTTAAAAATATATGATGTGAAGTGAAAAATTGGTATCTAAGTGGAGGTTAGAGGAAGTACCAGGGACTCTGGACGGTACTCACTGGTTGATGGGCTCTGGTGGTACCAGTAGAGTCCTGGGAGGTGGCACCATCATGGTAGTCAAGTCATACAACCATACACACACCTCAGGGATGGCAGTGTCCACCTGAAAACATAACATCACTCACTCAATAATAATGATAATTATAATACTAACAATCATCACACAATAACATCTTCAGAGTTGTTCATTGCACTAATATCAACATTTATGAAAGAAAATTATATAAAAAAAATATACAAAATTATTATTAGTACAGTATTAATAATTGTGAAACATCGTAGCTGATACTGAAGAAACAGTGTTTCCTGACCCCCCCCCCCGTCCTCACAGTATGTACCGACGCTCTGCTGAAGGCTACGTTTCTACTGCTATAGGAGATGTTGCTACTATTGTAGGCTATAGACTACTTAGTGTTTCTACTGCTATAGACTATGTTCCTACTGCTGTAGGCTATGTTCCTACTGCTGTAGGTTATGTTCCCACTACTGTAGGCTATGTTCCTACTGCTGTAAACTGTTTCTACTACTGTAGGCTATGTTCCTACTGTATTATGCTACGTTCCTACTGCTTTAGGTTATGTTCCTACTGCTGTAGGCTGTTCCTACTGTTTTAGGCTATGTTCCTACTGCTGTAGGATGTTTCTACTACTGTAGGCTATGTTCCTACTACTGTAGGCTATGTTCCTACTACTGTAGGCTATGTTCCTACTGCTGTAAACTGTTTCTACTACTGTAGGCTATGTTCCTACTGCTGTAGGCTATGTCCCTACTGCTGTAGGCTGTTTCTACTACTGTAGGCTATGTTCCTACTGTATTATGCTACGTACCTACTGCTTTAGGTTATGTTCCTACTGCTGTAGGCTGTTCCTACTGTTTTAGGCTATGTTCCTACTGCTGTAGGATGTTTCTACTACTGTAGGCTATGTTCCTACTACTGTAGGCTATGTTCCTACTACTGTAGGCTATGTTTCTACTGCTGTAGGCTATGTTCCTACTGCTGTAGGCTATGTTTCTACTGCTGTAGGCTATGTTCCTACTACTGTAGGCTATGTTCCTACTACTGTAGGCTATGTTTCTACTGCTGTAGGCTATGTTCCTTATGCTGTAGGCTATGTTCCTACTGCTGTAGGCTATGTTTCTACTACTGTAGGCTATGTTCCTATTGTTTTAGGATATGTTCATACTGCGGTAGATAATATGCATCGACTACTCTTGACTCCGTAACTCTTGCTGTAGGCTATGAAAGAACTTACTGTAGGGTATCTGAGGGTGTGCACTGTGGGGTACACATTATGCGAGTACTCGAGCACAGGCAGCTCTCTCACACCGGATTCGTTGAAGGACGCAACAGCGATGAAGTCTCCCGTAGGGCTGGGCCAGACGGCGTGGGCTTGACCCAGGATCTCTGAAAGATGAATTAGTCTGTGTCTGAGTCTGTAATTGGGTAGTAGTAATATACTGGTGGCTGTCACTGTACCGGTGACTAACAATATACTGGTTAGCAAGACGGCGTGAGAGTGTGTGGGAGAGTGTTAGAAAGAGTAAGATTATGTTTGAAGGTTGAGTGTATATTAGTGGGTGTGGCAGTATATTACCTTCATATAGTAGATCAGGAACACCGTTGTAGCGTAGGTTGGGTGTAGCGTCCTGGGTGAGGGTGATTGGGGTGGAGGTGGGGGAGGGCAAGAAGTAAACATCTCCCTCACTCACCACCACCAGACTCGACCCTCTGTCACCCACCCACCCGACGTGCTGAAACCGCGGCTCACCCACGTCATGTCTCCACAACTTCAGTGGGTAGTAGTGACTGAGAAGAGAGAGAGAGATTAATAATAATAATAATAATAATAATAATAATAATAATAATAATAATAATAAAGAACAAAAATTCAACAATGGAACAATACACAAATAACCCGCACATACGAAGGTTCAGGTTCAGGTAGGTTTCCTAGGACGGGTCCTGGCTCGGGTCTTCTCCATGTCGTGACCCGGCAGTGGCTCCCGAAGGAGTGTCGGAGTTTGTACAAGTGATGTACCGTTTACAGCACTATGGCAGGGGCAGCCCTATGACAAGGGCACGGTGAGTCTTCAGCACAAGTGGTGCAGCAGTTAGCCACAATCGTCGTCGACGCCTTGTAGCTGGGGTACAGCACGTCTTTAGTTCAAGTGGTATAGGGTCGGTGTTCTAGCTGGTATGAGGATCGCAACTCTCAAAAGCTCTACTCCATTTGAGCCATTTCTGGCACTCAGGCCTCAGCCCAAGTGAAACAGCGACTCAGGAAATTCTCTGGAGGAGGGCAGGGATGGAAAAAAGAGAGGTGGAAAAATAAAAAGGAAGTGGAGACAGTAGTGAAAGAGGTAGAGCAGGTAATGAAAGAAGTAGTAGTAGTAGTGGGTAGGGAGGAGAAGTAGTGGTTGCACAAGAGTCAGAGAGTGAAGTGAAGGGAGGTAAAGCAAGTAGTAGTAGTAGAAATGGTAAGTGGTAGTAGGTCCACCACAATGGTCCACGAGGCTGAGACCACAAACACAGGGAGGAAAAACACATAAGACAGAATACATCTAGACAGAAGAGAGGAATGGCAAGACAAATATAGGAAAGGAGAAGAGGTAAGGAGAGGAGATAAAGATTAGGTCAAGTCACGAGTGTTCTGAAGTTTGGAGCATCTGACACTGTAATGAGAAAGGAAGGTATCTACAGAGACAAAGTGAGGACTAAGATTCACACGAGGTAAATTGTGTATATGGGATGCTGCAACAAGACGGCGTTGGTGAAGGGTAGAAGAAAGGTAGGCAATTATGGCAGAGGACCAGTCAGTATGATGACTGTGATCTCTAACATTACAGAAAAAAGCATTATCAGTGCCAGCAAGTTTAACACCACTTTTGTGTTTTTAAGTCGATTAAAAAGAGAGCGGCCAGTTTCTCCAAAATATTAAAGAGAACAAGAGGATGTAAAGTAAAAGGACACAAGTGCAGCTAATGTGACATTTTATTGTGGCAACGTTGCACTTGTGTCCTTTTACTTTACATATTGTCGGTAATTCTACCAACTTTATTACAGAACAAGAGGAGCAGGAAATAGAGTAAACTTCGGAAGCATCAATAGAATGAGAAGTACGAACTAGATTACTAGCAAGGGTGTTAGTTTGGCGGAAAGTAGATTTTATGTCTAAGGAACGGAGAGAGTTGTTAAGATTTATGAGACTAAAAATATAGGGAAGGCAAAAAACAGGAGATTTCACGGGATAGAGAGTTTTGGATAGAGAAAAGTCCGTTTAGCAAGTGAGAAGACAGCGTTAATGAAAACGGAAGGGTAGCCAAGACAAGACAGCGAATTGCGAAGAGTGGAAATTTCTAAATCAAGGAACTTAGGGTCACAAATGCGGAAGGCACTGAGAAAGGGAGAAATAAGAACACTTTTCCTGACACAGAGAGCTTGGTAAGAAAAGTAGTTATTGTGCATGCCACTGTGCGTAAGCTTGCGGTAAACGGAAAAATAAAAAAAAGTCTGTCGCAGACCGTTGGACATGTACATCAAGGGAAGGATATAGAAAGTTAGATTCCCATTCAGCTTTGACCTTGATGGAAGAAGCAAGATTGTTAAGGACATTCAGAACTGCTTGGAGGAGACTGGAGTCATGGGGCCAAAGAGCAAAGACATAAACCATACCCCCGGCCGGGATTGAACCCGCGGTCATAGAGTCTCAAAACTCCAGCCCGTCGCGTTAGCCACTAGCTGGTCTAGTGGCTAACGCGACGGGCTGGAGTTTTGAGACTCTATGACCGCGGGTTCAATCCCGGCCGGGGGTATGGTTTATTTGCAATCGTGTCATTACGATTTCTTGAGTCAGAGCAAAGACATCATGTACATAGTGAAGCCAGAGGAACCGGCGCACACCAATAGTAGAAAGAAGAGTTCGGAAGCATTCCTTGTCAAGGTTAGCAAGAACAGAGGATAAACGAGAACTCATAACAACACTGAAGGTGTAGTGGGGTTTCTAAATTTAACGAGGGAAAACTTTCCTCTTTATCGGAACATTCTCAGCAACAATATTCATTTGCTTTTTCACAAATTATCGATTATTACTCGACAACGTCTAATTCGATCGACTTTAAATTTCCAACGCTTGTTTAATGTATCTCGGGCAAGATTCATGGTCTAGTGGTACGTATGTGTGGACGCCCTATGCACAGTGCTACAAAGACCGTGGTATGTGTGGATGCCGTATGCACAGTGCTACATAGACCGTGGTATGTGTGGACGTCGTATGCACAGTGCTACATAGACCGTGGTATGTGTGGACGTCGTATGCACAGTGCTACATAGACCGTGGTATGTGTGGATGCCGTATGCACAGTGCTACATTGACCGTGGTATGTGTGGATGCCGTATGCACAGTGCTACATTGACCGTGGTATGTGTGGACGTCGTATGCACAGTGCTACATAGACCGTGGTATGTGTGGATGCCGTATGCACAGTGCTACATTGACCGTGGTATGTGTGGACGTCGTATGCACAGTGCTACATAGACCGTGGTATGTGTGGATGCCGTATGCACAGTGCTACATTGACCGTGGTATGTGTGGACACCCTATGCACAGTGCTACATAGACCATGGTATGCGTGGACGCTCTATGCACAGTGCTACATAGACCGTGGTATGCGTGCGCCCTATGCACAGTGCTACATAGACCATGGTATGCATGGACGCCCTATGCACAGTGCTACGTAGACCATGGTATGCGTGGACGCCCTATGCACAGTGCTACATAGACCATGGTATGTGTGGACGCCCTATGCACAGTGCTACATAGACAGTGGTATGTGTGGACGCTCTATGCACAGTGCTACATAGATCATGGTATGTGTGGACGCCCTATGCACAGTGCTACATAGACTGGTATTATGTGGACGCCCTATACACAGTGCTACAGTAGGTCTTAGACAGGGATGTGTAATGTCACCATGGTTGTTTAATATATTTATAGATGGGGTTCTAAAAGAAGTAAATGCTAGGGTGTTCGGGAGAGGGGTGGGATTAAATTATGGGGAATCAAATTCAAAATGGGAATTGACACAGTTGCTTTTTGCTGATGATACTGTGCTTATGAGAGATTCTAAAGAAAAATTGCAAAGGTTAGTGGATGAGTTTGGGAATGTGTGTAAGGGTAGAAAGTTGAAAGTGAACATAGAAAAGAGTAAGGTGATGAGGGTATCAAATGATTTAGATAAAGAAAATTTGGATATCAAATTGGGGAGGAGGAGTATGGAAGAAGTGAATGTTTTCAGATACTTAGGGAGTTTACGTGGGCGGCGGATGGATTTAGAAGGATGAGGTTAATCATAGAATTGATGAGGAAAAATGGTGGAGTGGTGCGTTGAGGTTATGTGAGACAAAAAACGTTATCTATGAAGGCAAAGAAGGGAAGTATGAAAGTTATAATTAAAATTAATGGGAAAAG